AGCCAGCCATGGCTGGCTGGGGAATTCTGGGAGTTGAAGTCCACACATCTTAAAGTGGCCAAGGTTGAGAAACACTGAGCTAGAGGAACATAACCTTGCATGTCTGGTTGTACTCCTCTTCCTCTCTCTTTTATAACTGTGTGCATTAGGCAGGTGTCTGAGGCACACACTTCCTACAAGTCCCGGACTTCACCTATGCTTTTCCTCCCATCTCTTTCATCGTGGTTCTCCCTTCTCTCCCTCAAGGCCATCCTCTTTATCCTCTACCGTTGCCAACAGTCACTGCTTATGATTATAAGAGCCAGATTGCAAAATTCCCAACAACCAATAGGCACAGCACAGAGGTGAAAGGAACTCACTTTGCGGCCACCTAATCCTTGTCCAGTTTTTTGCAGCCCAGATCCAGCAGCCTTAACCTTCCTCAATTGAAGGCCACCTTGAACAAGCCATGATTCAGGGCAGGAAGGAGAAACAGCCAAGCAAAGGTAAATAAGCTGCTTCTGACATCATCTCGTACTTTACTCAGCAGAAGGTCGGGGGAAAAATATCCCCCTAATGTACTGTAGATGATGGAAGAGAATGACAATATTTTTATGATGCACCGTATGAAGATTTTCATATCTGAAGAAATCAAAATACTTTGATCTTATCCATTATTCCTTTAGCAATTTCAGGTCTAAACCAACTTATTTTTGTTTTGTTTAGGAATCTGAGAGAGAGAGGAAGAATGAGAAAGTCTCTGGTACAAAACTTCCGTTGTATCCTAACTAGGCTTGTCCCACCTCTTTTCAAACATCAACTTGGGTTTAGAAGGATGAAACATTTCAAGAACGCCCCACATGCTTTGTTCATCTTATTGCTCCTTTGTCTCTGGCCACTACTACTTTAGAGTCAGAGTGGTGTATTGGTTAAGGCATCAGGCTAGAAACCAGGGGACTGTGAGTTTTAGCTGGGTGACCTTGGGCCAGTCCCTCTCTCTCAGCCCTGGGAAGAGGAGGAGGAGGAGGAGATGAGGGGGAGAAGGAGGAGGGGGAGAAGCAGCAGCAAAAGCAGAAGCAGCAGCAGCAGCAGCAGCAGGGGAAGAGGAAGAGGAAGAGGAAGAGGAAGAGGAAGAGGAAGAGGAAGGCAGCCAGGGCAAACCACTTCTGAAAATCTTGCCAAGAAAACTGCAGGGACTTGTCCAGGTAGCCGCCAGGAGTCAACACTGACTCAAAGCCATACACCACACACACTACTGCTTAATTTTCCCCAATCTGGTCCCCTGCCATTGTTGTTGATTTGGCTACCCTCACTCTGTGTTGGCATCATGACATCACAGAACCAAACTGAATTCATGACACAGCAAAGCCAATTCAGAGTGTCAACTGTATTGCACTGACACTGTCAGGCAGCCAAATCTACCTGATGATGGGGCATTTCCGTAAAGCCAACGTAGTGAGGGCAGCACCATGCCACTCTCCTATCAAACAGTTGAAGAACAGGTGCTACTAAGTCAGGAGTCAAATTGCTACTGATATTTGCACCAATAAAACAGGAATATTCCAGACAAGCTCTCTCATAAATGTTTCTCCCCACTCACAAAACACGGTTCGTTCAATGTCACCGATCTCACCCCAGCTCTGGGCTGAAAATTCAGTTCTTTCAGCCATATCTCCCAGCTAAAGAGAAAATGGAATCTTTTCTATCTAGAATTGGGACTTACTGCACTGCTACAAGGAATATCCTTCACTTTTAGCCAAGCCAAATCTAGAGTGCCTTCTCCTCTATAGCAGGATTGCAACCGGTCCTTGATACGGTCATTGATCTTTTTCAGAAGAAAGATGCAAAGAGCAGACTCATCCAAGGATTTCATCCTCCTCTTCTGCCCCTTGGAAAAGACTGTAAAGAGGACATCATCCTCTGGCATGATACCCAAAGATCTGGCCAAGATGGATCCCGCCTTAGACAAGTAGGCGGCCTGCAGCAACCGGTATTCCACCCCATTCTTTTCGCAGCCAATGGGCAGTTCAACGTAGGAGTTGAAGGCTGTATCTTCTTTGCAGAGACGGACCAGTTTTGAGGTATAGACCTGCTCCTTGGTGGTAGATCCAGAGGGAGAAATCATCTCAGGTTGAAGGGTCAAAAAATAGACAAAATTACCACTACTGAAGCCATAGATGTAGTAGATGTCAAAGTCAGGGATGATGGTGAATGTGTCTGATGGGATCTTGATCATGGAAGCCACAAACTCATCATGAAAAACATAAGCAAACATTCCTTCTGCTTCTGAGTTTTTGGGGAGCTTTCGGCTGGAGATGGTGGGGAAGTATTCAGGCTTCCCGTCCACAGCAGTGGCAATGAACAGCTTGTCATCCATGTTGTTGTAAGAAACGATGACTCCAAAAACAGACCCACTCTCGTTCACGCCAGAGAGGTAGTGCTCCTTATTGTGAAAGGGCTCCCCAAGTTTAAACAGGTCATCCAACCTCAAGAGTTTACATACGCCCTGGTATAGACTTCCGCAGGCAATCAACCTGTTCTCTTTGTAGTCAATGAGCAACATCTTGTTGATGTTGTTTGTCATCGTTAAGGGTTCGTTGCAAGGTTGGACCAGTCTGGGAGGGTAACATTTGGGGTTATCCATATCTGGACCTGTTTCATGACGGGCCTCCACCTCCAGATTGTTGGAGAGTTTGTATATCCAGTTGACAGCCCCCAAGTAAATATACCCTTTCCTTTTGTCTACCACCAAGTGATTAAAAGAGATCTCAGTGGCTTCTGCAGAGAAGGTGAGGAAAGGTTTCTTTGGGTGGGAGGGCAGTTGCCTAGCGACAGAAGATGGCCCCACAGTGCAGAAGACAAGATGCAAGCCAAGGCAAGTCCACCTCCACATGTCTCCCGACATGATGACCAAAAGTTTTTGTATTCCTAAATTGGAGTTTGGGGGAAAGAAATAAATGACACCGGGGCTGCAGAGATGTTCAGAGTGCTGATCCTGTGGTGGAGTTTATCCTAGGGGAAAAGAAGAAAAATAGAAAGCCCATTATTGCAAAGCATTTCCTTCCCCTCCTATTCCTGCCTTCAAGAGCAATGCCATCATTAAAGAAAGCCAACTTAATTGCTAATCCTCCCCTTTTCATTGCTGTTATCCATGGGAGAAAGGTTGTTCCCTGAATGAACAGACAATAAAACAGAATAAGCAAACACCTGGACTCATGTCAGAGCAGCAGAAAGGGAACTGCAGCAGACCCAGCATTGCATCTTCTCAACCACCTTCTCCAACCTGGTTCCCCACCAGATGTCTTGGACTTTGGTTCTCAGAATTGCTAGCCAGTTAAGGAACATCCCCTGTTCTGTGGGCACTTTGGAAAAGCCTTCAAGCTGGGGCCTCCTAGATGTGTAGAATTACAACTCCCAACATCTAACCATCATGACTAGGAAGTCTGGGCCCTGAAGGCCAAAATATCAGAGAACACTGGAGAAATATAGTTAATATCCATGTATAAAGACAACTTCAAGTAGGGGTAACTTTTTGCATCAGAAGCAAACCTCAATGGAGTTCAAGTTGCTTCTCTACTCCAGTGTTTCTCAACCGTGGGAGCTTTAAGATGTGTGGATTTCAACTCCCAGAATTCTGGGAGTTGAAGTCCATATATTGCTACCAACCTTCTGAGAGGCAGGGCTCATTCCCCACTCATCCGTCTTCACCACCTAGTTCCAGACTCCCAAGATCCCATTCTGCTCCCCAGTTCCTTTGAGCCATTCCTAACTAAGAGAAAGCTTCACAAAGAAACACTAAACCCATGGTTTTCCTACCTGTAGAAATACTCCCTGTTCCTAGAAATGTCAGCTAGGAAGACAACCCAGTTTGGCACAAACCAATCCCGAGGGAGGGGTCACCATATCAACTCTTATTAAGGGTGACTCACAAATAGCAAACTCTGTGCCAAGGCCGGGGCTACACCCCAAAACTGCCTTCCCCCCTGGAACCTCTGGGACTACAAATCCCACCCCATCAAGACAGAACTGCCACAAAGATAAAGAATCCTTTGATTCAATGAAGGTTTATCAAGATAATAGACTATACGAGAAACACAATGCAGAAAAAGATCTTTAAACTATTGAGGATGACTATAAAAAATTGGAAGAAGAGCTGCAGAAACTCTCAAAAACACAATGCAGAAAAAGATCTTTAAACTATTGAGGATGACTATAAAAAATTGGAAGAAGAGCTGCAGAAACTCTCAAAAACACAATGCAGAAAAAGATCTTTAAACTATTGAGGATGACTATAAAAAATTGGAAGAAGAGCTGCAGAAACTCTCTCTCAAAAAAAAAAAAAAGATATTAAAGCTAAAATGGACTTAATTAAACATAAAACGGGATCATTGGAAAAGGAAGAAATAGTACAAGAAATTAGAAACATTAAACAGAATTATTGTGAGGCCTATAATCTGAGAATTAAAAGGGTTAATCAACTGATAAATGAAGAGAGACAGATCTGTTCTTGGCACTGAGGGTGAGAAAAAGATTATACAAGATTATAATGG